AGGATTTTTCTAACGAAGTTGAGTATTTCACACTAACGTGATGTATTCTGATATCTTGCCCATTAAATGTGCAGTGGTTCATTAATATCGGATATGCCGCGCGCGATGCCTACGTACCGCGCGCGGCAAAGCCATGTGCCGCTGAGCCTTGTTATATGTACCAATGGATTACTGCGTTGAGCGTCCTGCCTGAGACTAGGCGTCGAAGAATGGAAGCAGAAGAGATTTGCGGGATTGGAGACAAACATGGGCACAAGTTTTCTGCTGCAGAACCACCGAGGTGTCCTCTGTGTAGTTGAGTTACTGATTGGTAAAGTTGCTCCTCAAGTATGGCCTAGAAACCGTCGCAAGCAGAGCACCATAGAGCCTTAGAAGCTATTGGAAATGCTCTGCTCGAGCAACCACCCACTCTAACGGGTATCGTTCGGAAAGGCGTTTTTACCATCACGAACGCCTCCTAATCCACTCATTTGTGACGGCGATGAGCAGTTCAAGAGCTTGGGCGTTGTGCTGCCTCCTTTAAGTATAAACGGTGTCATAGATGTTGCAGGTATAAATGGCGTGCAAGAGGAAGGTTCGAATCAAACCTTTGCAGTAAAAAAACTTACATCCGACTCCTGTGTAGCAGGCGATGGTTCTGATGGAAGCTGAAAAATGAATCTATAATTTGAAACATTGCCACAAATACGGTTTTAAATGGTTTCACGACTCTGGTAGGAAACCAGCTACAATGCGTATCCCTACAGTAGGAATGATCCTGACGGTCGGTTTCTTTCTTAGGAGAGGCTTTATCATCGATTCCATGTATTGATCAATATCGATTACGCACTCAAAAACTCTAAGTTCATTCCGAAGTGTTTGTGGCGGCTTGGGGTCGTTATGTGAAAACGCTCAAATTGTAAACAACCTCAGGTATCAGAGTTCATCGACAAGACAAGGGCAGCCTCGATGGTATAGAAAATACCATTTCATATTACTTGTAACCTAATCCTTTTGTAACGTTCTAGTTACTAACTGGAGATTATGTGGTTGGTTTCCTGTTTTTTTGATAACGTCGCATAAGTCTCGTTTATACTTGGCGTTTACTAGTCGTCTCATACTCTATTTGTGATCCGACGCTCTTATTATCTCATGTCAAGTGGCCGGAACTGAACAAATTAGTACCTGTTTTAACAAGTTAGTACCGAAAAGGACGTGTAGAGATAGCACAGAACGTGAAAAAATGAGCAGCGCGTTATCGAAGGGCAACGATTAATCGAAAGGGAGCGACGCATTGGGAGGTGAAGCTTGCAAATATGTAAAAGATAGGTATTGATTAGACTAATAAGACGTTATCGCGAACTATAGCCGGAGCTAAAGAACCTTCTACATGCTAGGTAATGGGGAAAATGAAGTGATAACTCCTCTATCACTTATCTTACGAAAGCAATTTCATTCTAAAGGGTAATGCAACACAGTGCAGTAGTCAAGGTCATTGACTGCAACAGATAAGCGCGCGTAAGTCCTAAAAATCAATAATCCATTTCGAAGCATTGTGGACATTTGACGAAAAGAAGAAGAACGAGAAGCAAGCCGTTCACTCTTCGTCTTCAAATCATCGTTGCTGAAGACTATTTGAAAGAAACTAAAGCAAGTTCTTCTTGATCAGAGATCGGAAACGGAGGACCTAACAAAGTGACAGGACCGGTTCTGCAGAAGTGAAAAATACATAAATGACGCTGTCCTGTCCCATAAAATATTCTAGGTCGTTCCATCAACTATATATTTTTATTAACTCACTTCAGCTGTTGCCAACATCTTGGGTTACTGAGTAAATTTGGTGAAGTGTAGCTTTCGAGAAAATGCACTTTCTCTGAAAACAGGTAAATCATATTCAACAGACTCACTCAGGTCGCTAGCCCAATATGGTTTGACTGTATTCCGGTAAGCTTGTTAGGCAGTCCCCAGCGAACAGAATAGCACTCCCATCTACTGTTGGACTAGCCTCGAATTCTTAGAGTAAGACCACAAGTGCCTGACCTTACTAGTACCGTTTAGAACGAGCACAAGTGTGAAAATAAGCCTACCCGTAGCCCACCTCGACTGATGGCCTCTGTTTTGAACCATGTACGATAGGATCGATAAGGAAATAGAGATCACTTCATACCAGAACACCAACCGGACGTTGAGATCGGTCAGACTATATCGTCGAAGCATTCATTATAGGCACGAATCCCTGGAAAGAAGAATTAAGGCCCTTTGATCAACTGGCTTCGAATTACGCCATGCATCCGCCCTCCACAAAAATCGATTAAGTATTTGGTTGTTGAATAATTAAGGTCCCGAAAGCAATTAGCGTGAGCCTGGTATGTAATTCTATGTACATATGTGTTCTGTTCAATAATACCGACTATTGTCAAGGGTTTTAAAAACATTTCCGATGCACGAGGGGGAACAAGTTGTTCCAGAGGGATAGCTATAGAGCCCTAAACTACAAACCCTTGACTACTATCATGTATAGTTCATTGTGAAATGACCCATCAACAATCCCAATCCTCGTTAGGGTCCTGAATGGATAAAAATAGGCTAGGAGCGGGTTTGACAGCTATGTCAGATCAGGAATTTTTATGACAGCCTTCATTCTAGGTGTCAGGCTTCACCCTTGCGACACTGCTGAGATGGTTATAAAAGGTAATAAAGTTGCGTTAAGTTTGGGTTCCGTGTTCTACTAGTCCGAAAATTTCCTGGAAGTAATTGCCATAAATTTTTATGACTTGAACAACCTCCAAACAGTCCCGTAAAAGGGACTTGTTGAAGGCGATAAAGTACCGTTTATAGCACACACTACAATACATGGCGTAGGAAATCCAAAAATGCTATATCAAACGCTTCTAGAGCAGAATGAAAGCACGGCGCAATCTGAGTTGGATAACAAATCAGTTTCACAACCCACGGAAAACCGTTTGATTTGCTTGAGTGATTCATGTATTCACTTACTCCGCAAAAAGAAGCTTCATGGATTACAAACAAGTGATAAATAAATATAAAAATAAATTAGTAAACAAGTAATGTTATCTAGGAGTTGGGTAGACAAATAAGTAAAGCAGTAAACAAGTAGAAAACATGGTAATGGATAAATGAGTAAGAAAGGCAACAAATAAATAAATGAGGAAATATATAAGTGATCAAGTAAATGGATATGTAAATATTTTAGCTGACTAAAGGAGCAAGTGAGCAGGATTTGCGTGAAGAAAAAAAGCAAAAAAAAAATAACTAGGCAAATAAGGCAACTTAAAAAAAACAGTGAAGAGGGAGGAGACAGATTCCATCGATTACTTTGTGACAGCCAGAGATTTGCAGTCATGAACTGATCGTTAGCATCTGCTTTCTTGCTGATCTACAGCAACATGCACTTCCCGTCCAAATAATCAAAAATATTGCTTTAATCAGATGTTAACTATGGTACTAATGTAGTACTTCACCAATGGTCTTACTAGCAATTATTATCTTAAATTATACTCCTTTTTTTGAGCGCTCTTTGTTCATCTCGTTGCTTGGAGAAGTGCGGTTCACCAAATCGTCGTCTGAGTTTTTCAAAGAAAAAATCCAGGAAAGTCGACGTCTTTAAAAAAATTTATGAGGAACACTAAAAGGGCTTGTTGGGCAGTTAACACATAAACCTGGACCTACCCTTTTCTTCAAAAACAAGTTTGACTGCTAGAGAAAGAATGGATACTAAGCTTGAGGGTTTGGCAGTTTTTTAAGCGTCCTCCTACTCTCACACACACTTGTCGTACACCTGAACACTTGCGCCTTCGGATTTTGTGGCTATGTGGGTGACTTTAATGCCATCTTGGGTCCGTATAACAAGGAATGGACAAGTGTCCTTAGACAGCAGGCGAAGATTTGTGGACTACTCTGAAAAAGGGGATCGGAAACTCAGAGTAATCATGAGCCTTGAAGTTGAGAGTTGCCACTCCTAGCCACTGTTTTCAAAACTTCTTTCACAATGCCGTTCCAGTCAAAGAAGTTTCAAACTAGCATCGTCATTTTTTGGTCAAGCCTCATCTAATTTCCCGGGTCAGAAGATGGGTACTCTGCAGAAACAGATTCACTAGATGCTTTTATACAGAGCGGAAGCATGGCGCATTCGCGCATTCTGAAATGATCACAAACTCGAACCATACTCATTGTTCTTCGATAAAAATTGTCATTATTGTAATTGCTTTCCTGCTTGACTGCTTTTCACCCTCTTTCATTGAGTTACCTACAAGCCCTGCACTCGGAATTTCGCTGGGACCAATTATTTCTGAATAAGTAGGGTTAGACTCAGCCAACCATATTTGGAGGTTCAACTGAAATTAATGCCCAGTTTACCCAAACAGGATATCCCTCTTTAATGCTGCTGGATAAGGTGGATTCAAAAGCTCCCTCGGTGATGGTCCTGTGGTGGTGACTTATTCCGATTCAACCGCCGCCTTGAACCAGTGGGACGACCTGCTGCGATTTAATTGAATTCGTCGACATGAACATACAAAAAACGAAGGCAAACGCGACGGAAATTGAACAATACGTCCCTCAAACATCGATATTGATCGATCGATTCGAATCATTGCACGAATCGTGGTCGATGGGTTACATAACGGACGAAAATCTATTGGTTCCAGGTACTTACGAGGCACGTTCCTCAATAGAACCAAGAAAAAATCGAGTAGAGTAGACTTGAAATGTTTATTCCGAATACCCGTAAACAAGAGGCACATGTGGAATTCAATCAATTTACACCAGAACTACTCTATCAAACAACACACTGGGAAATAAAGGATCTTCAAGAATAAAAAATATTGATTAGTCTCCATCAATTTTTGGCAAAATTCCAACTATGGGGAGTACGGTCAAGCTGTAGGAAGAGACGCTTAGCGACGGCAAATAGAAACGGTGAAATATCACGAGATCACATTAGACGAGTCTCAGAGACTCCAATGGGTGAGACTTCTGGGACAGTGACGGCGACGATTCAGTTATTTGCATGTCGACACCCATCGATGTTGTAAACAATCTTTGCAGATCAATTTACAACACCATACAAACTTACAATCGCATTTATAATGAAGTACTTCATGTGTGATCTGAAATGAGCGTTTATACTAACTGACTTCGCGATATCGCTAGTCACCATATTAATCCATACCGAGAATTTACGTGAATTCAAACCTTAAACCCTTTTCCACAACATAATCGAGAACAATCGCCTTGAGTATGAGTCTCGTTGCGCCATGCACACACTCGACCAGTTGTCTGAAGACAAGATTATTGATAGATTGAAGTCAGAGGCACCATAGTGGTAGGAATTCGATTCTTTACAATGATTGGTGATGGAATTCTTTGATGGTTTAAGCGCGCGGTAGCGACGCGATCGCACAAAAAATCGATACTAATCGATAGTACTAATACAGGGTGTGGAAAAAGAAGCGCAAAACTGGCTCTTCTTTATTTTTGCTGTGCCATAGCTCGATTTATATCTACTTTTGCAAGATAAAAAGTATCACCAGTATCAACCAGTCAAGATATTAAAAACGATACCGTAAGTTTATTGGAAAATTTAATTATACGTTCTTGGCCCAACAACTGAATCACTGTTTTAAAAACCCACCCAAGAACTCGAAAAATAAGAAATAAGTCGTTAAAGGAACCAAAACAATTTATATCTACGCTACATATGGAAAATTTACATTAAAAAATGGATCTGGGGCCAGATTTGATGACTTATTGATTTTCAGAGGAATAATTTCATAGAAACATTGAAACTAACGATAATAGTCGCGATGGGCGCTACTGTGCGACATGACGCGATAGCGTACGACAACTAGCGACACGCGACACTATAAAACCACCAGATGGCAATTGAACTTACCATTTGTAGACATGGATCAGGCGAAGGTTCAATGAATACGAGATCGGCGTTTTTCGCCTTTTGGTCCGGTGAGAGCAGCTTGGAGCGAGCATACCTAGAAAGAGAAGGTTGCAGATACTAATCAAGAAATTAAACATCTTCGCCAAGAAATGTCTGGTACCAGGTCACCCTACCACACATGCACATGTCTAAAGGCTGCTTTACGAAAGGCCGTCCTGGTAGAATGCTTCTAGCATTGGACTTTCTGACTCACTTTTCGATCAAATAATCGGCGATGTGATCGAGTGTAGCCGTCCTTTTCCAACAAGTCTTCTGCTGGCATGAGCCGGACACTCCATGGCATTTGCAGGACGCAATCAAGGTCTTCTTGACAGCCTCAAAATGATATTTTGAAAACTTATTGGAATTATTGGTGAGCACAGGGCGACTTACAAGACGTCCTGCTTTGAGGTTATGCTTTTCGACGCTCCTTAATGGCGTTCGAACGATGGGCGTTCTCGTGAGAAGTTTGCGGCTGGCTGTAATCCCATGCTGTACGCTGTATGAGCAACTGGAAATAAGCGGAAATCACTAGCGAAGCATCAACGCATATCTGGGAGTGGTTGAGAACTTACCCGCCATATTCCCATCCGGGCTGTCCATCATGTATACACGAACAGTCGTCGATCCAACCTTGAGCACATGCTGTCGCTACTCCCCATGCGGCTCCAGCGGAAGACAGAGCCCAGATCAAAGCCGATTCTCGATATCCTGGAGAAGGTAACTTGCAAAAGGAGCTCGGAGTCAATGCCGCTCATTTATACCCACCCAGAGGTCTTCCATACATATATCCTTACCCAAGCCTTTAATTTTGCGGAGATGTATCCGGGCCGCTTTTAACAAATGTTTCGCTCAGCGGTTTCACCTGCACAATCGTTTGCTCGAGGGTTGTCGCTTGCTGCTGCTAACCTTGAAGTTCGACCCTTTTGAACCCCATATAACCTTGATCCCCGGTCTGAAAAAAANGGGGGGGGGGGTGAGGGTCAACGATCATCTGCTGATTATTAGTAGAAGGAAAACCTAGAATTCACCCATACGGGAGTTCGGCGGAATGCCTCGACCTAAACCCTATACCCTCTTTTCACGTATATCCTTTCCCCAGGCTGCATTCGGTTCAGTCTCGCTTGGCAGCGTTCGTTTTCAGCCTGTTGGAGAACAACCGGAACTCTTAATCAAGGTGCACGAAGTCTATAGTAATCTCTTCATCATTCCAATGTAAACCTCCTCGAAACTTTCGATCAATACATATAATTTACACTAACCATATTTCAATATCGGTGGATCATGCATTATATGACCAACATTGGTGCAGTCCCATTGCTGAAAACGCATCCGATCTGCGCATTGAGACATGGCATCCTTCAAACAGAATCAATATCGATTTTAACATTATCGATTTTTCCTTCGCACTCCATTCATGATCAATGCAGGTTCTGGACCTACCTGTATCCCTTCGAATGCTGCGATTACGGTAGATGGCTGGTTACGACAAGCTATTTGAACAGAACGAAACGTTCTCGAATGCAGTAGATCCGGGCCGCATCCCTAAACATGCCCAAAACTTGAATCAGTCAAAAACGTTTTCCAAAAGAGAAATCGATATCGATCGATGAACCGCCACAGAATGACTCGACCTTTTATGGCCATTGTAGGATCACGATTAAATTGAAAAAACGTAAAAATCTATTTATCAACCAAAGGATCGCCCTTAGGGTAAAAGCGCTGTTATTTACACCTCAGGTCATAGTCAGTCGCTGGTCTATTTCCTCCTTCTCAAATTTACTCCTGACAGTTCTCTGCAGTGAGTTTGTGGGAGAGAAATGCTGAAGCTTATTGCTCAAAGAAGAACTGTGCTGTTTCAATTGGCTCAGCAATTTTTTAAGGCGAACAAGAACATGGCTTATTCCGATAACCTCTACTCAACTGAGTGCACTTTTTTAGCACCCAAATTGCCCACTACAATTATCGTATCAACAAATAAAAAGGGTAAATGGTACCCTAATAAAAGTCTATAATTTCGGATGTGAAACGGTAGCGGAGTTAATTGTGCAATTACATCGCGACCAAGTTGACGGCACAGTACGTCTGCGATTTTTTGCACCACATATACTTCTATAGGTTGACTGGCACGCACTACGCTCCCTCGCCTGTCTCTCTGTCTGTTGCTTTACCGTAACCATCGTATGATTGAGCAATTGTGTGAGTTTAGCGTCGAAATAGACGTTTTATGGCAAAGCGGGCCGGCCGCGCCTCTTCGTCGGAAGACCATCAACTCACTGTAAAACAGGTTCGCGCTATGCGACGCTCTTCTCTGACTAAGCATTTATGGCCATCGAACCGCCATCATCACAGCCAAGTCGTGGTCATAGTGGCGCCAGCTGTGAATTTCGGTAGTGGTCGGGATTATTTTTTGGGAAGAAACCTAATTTTAGCAGAATCACGGCAATCAAAATAGCCTAGCCCAGTCCAAAAGACAGAAATACCTAGCCAACTACAAAGTAACGCACGGTGAAGCACTGGAAGTATAGCCGTTATGACAAAGTACAGATTACTAGCCAAAATGCTGACGATTTATTTTCACGATATTAAAGCCCTACTTCTTAACCAAAACTCGAGTTATAAAGAAGATCATTAACTCCGCTCGAGAAAAGTTGCAGATTGGACTGATTTATTTATTCAATTCCAGTTTCACTTCAATTGCCACCTTTTATGGTTCGCAAACACTTTGCAAGGAAATAACCGTCATAATCTATATTCCAGCAATATAAATCAAGTTGTAATTGAGGTCGTTTATGTTGTTCTTTACGACTTCCTCCTGCAGGACTAGAATAGATGGAAAAATAAGTAAACAACTTAATAGGTAAAATAAATATCAACAAAATCAAGAAAAAAAAATAGACGTTGTGGATAAAATCGAAATAGAATCAAAATTCGTGAAAAATATGGAAGCGTGAGATTCCAAAAACAGGTACGACATTTGAAGATAAACAACACCTTCTAAACATGTCTTTTTGCAACCCGAACTGAAAATACAACAAGTTACGATAATTGAAAAACAAGTGTACCCGTTATAAAGTTAATTTTCTAGATTTTTAGATTAGTGTTTTTCCTCTTCCCTCTCGATTTTCATCCTTTCTCCCCTGCGCTTCTACGTAATTTTTTGTTACGTTCTACAACAAAGCAACGAAGAATATTGAGTATTTTTTCGAAGCTAAAAAGCTTCATTACGCAAAGAAACTCTAATATAACCTTCGTATTGACCCAGATATTCGTTATCTGCAGTATTTCAGAGTCTAAACCATCCATAGAGGAGACGAATGAATGTCACATATCAGCGGTATTTAGCGAACCTCTTGAAAATGGTTCATAAGCTCTATGGTAGAAGTCCAGGGAGTCCCGAGTGAAACGAGGAGACGATGAGCAGGGGGGAGTGAGAGATGAAGAGCATCACCAGCCTCGGTAATCATTCGATAAAGTAATAAAAATGGTCAAATTAAGTTTTTATCTATAAATATAAGATCCGGTCTGAGATAAACATTAATCCCGATCCCATGTTAGCAATCCCATGTTTGTCCACCACACCATCGGAATTCTTAACGGCTTCCATCAGCTTTTTGCTTATGTTATCGCCATAGCTTCGCTTAAGATCAGGAGCTCCACCAACAATATTCACTGCGGTTGGAGTCAGTAGTTCAAAAAAAAGTATGCCAATTTTTGGACTAGACTGATCTAGGGCTATTGAAACAGTTCAACCGAAAAAGACCGCAAATTATCGTAAAGCATCACTCAAAGTGGTGATTGTATCAGAATGGCTAAAAGAGCAAATTGATAAGAGATCGAAGCTCAGTGTTTTTTTTTTCACGAAGATGAGCCATGCATTCCAACAGGCAACGATTCATGTAGTGTCACTTTATAGTCAGTCAGTTTATAAAACGAATTTTTTTATATTTTTCCATCGTGATCGCATCTTTCGAGATATTTTTCTGGTAAAAACTAGCCCTAAAAATCACTAACAAAAAAAGAAGACTGAAAGTATGTGCCAATTGGATCATGTTCTGTCCTGATTCAATAAATAGCAAATGATTGAGAGAAGTATGAGCTACATATTTCTCAGATTCTGGGCTTTATTCACATGGTTACTGCAGGTATCTCCTTCAACTAATATTGCTGTCCCACAAGTACACTTATTATAATTACATTTTATCACTGATAAATTATGAGGGGGCTTAAAAGAAATATCAAAGACTCCCTACTTTGGAATACGCTTCAGTGATCTGAAGTCTACGAAACCAGGACGAATATGCAGTCAGCGTCACTAAAAGGGCTGCAGAACAATGGACAGGACAATGAATTCGAACTTTCCGATACACGCAAGTGCGGAGGGCAAGGGGCTCCGAGCTCCATCAATGGACTAAGATCAGGCACGCTGATGCTCACGCCAATACGCCAAGAAATTGGAGATTAGGTGGGCCAGACACGTTATGCGATATCGTGATGACTGCTGGACCAGGTTGGTTGCTGACTGGTTCTTTCGGGATGTCACACGAACAGCAGGATGGCCCCCAGCGCGCTGGCCATACTTCTTCGAGAAAACTTCTCAGAAGGGAGGCAATGCTGCGAGACGATCCACCAAACCTCTCTGGCTCACGACAGAGACAAACGGGGGCGCCATTGGGGCCCACTCGAGCAAATCGGTTATGAATGAGAGTAAGGGTACAAGTAATGCGGGTGATCACATTATAAAAAGGATAAAGTTTTTGGCGTTAATCAATCCCGTCTGTGGGATGCGCCCCCGCACTCGACTTCCATTCAGAATCGTAGTGGCGTAATGAGTGCGTATGTGGCCTATACAATGACTTGCGGTGGCCAGCCGATGTANAGGGATGGAAGGCTTGGTTGGCCTAGGCGGGCATCGATCCGGGATTCGAACCCCTGACCGTGCGTGTGATATAGTGCGCCACTTGCCACTACACCACCTCCGCCCTGATCACATTATATCGTTACAATATTATAACATACTCAATTATTTTTACAACCATACACTTCGACACGACCTGGCGGAAGTATGACCATGCTAAACGACGTTCCCAAGCAAGGCACAACCTATGAATCGCGTGCAGCAAATAGATAAGAGTCATTAGTTCCCTGAACAGGTTGACAATCTTAAACAGCTCGTGAAGCACAAGAAACCAAGTACCATAAAGATCAAAATCTTCAGACACCTGACACTGTCTAGGCCGGAAGCACGCACTCAACTAGCGCCACAACTTTGGACAGTAGTCATATGAGAGGCGCGTCTCTAGAAGGACCATTCGAGAAATGTTGAGAGCATCAGTATCTTCGCTTGGCTATTTGATTTAAAAAGTAAGTAAAGGGCGAAATCGATTCCCAGTCTTTTAGACCAGAGGTAAATCACCAGAAAATGGAGTTGTAAGCGTTGGAGCGTTCCTAGATGGCCACAACCTTCACCATGATCTCCACTATTCAAATATGAGAATAACCCAAGAAGTTGTAGAATATTCAAAACCTTCGACCATGAATAGAGGCTCGACGCTCATAACTTAAAGATAATTACTTAAATGATAAATCAAAAGGTAGTAAAGGCTATTCCAATGTGTGCAGTACAAGTGAAATGAAAAGTTCTGCACCACCCAAAAATCTGATTGAAGCGCCCACGTTAATGGCTTTGAAAAATTCGAGGACGTTGTTTTACAAACGCATAGGCAAAGCATGTCACGACAACTATTAGCTGCTCACGAAACCGCTGAATCTTGAGAAAACAACAAATATATGTATGTATTATATATTCAGTAAAATGAAGTAGTATGGACGAAATAGAGCGTAAACATATGCCATACCAATACCGTACCATATGAAAAAATTCGCATAAGTTCAATTCTCATGCCGCAATCGAAGATTATTTGAGGAAATCCGGAGCGATGATTGGTAGTCTTGACCTTGAACGGATTCGAACCACGGATCATGCAAGCGATACCAGATACAGCCCTTCAAACTGGGGAACCGAGAATGTAAGACGAGCTATCATCTCTAGAAGTGAACTCCGTCCAGATCCCCTCAAATTGCAATCGCCTACATCTTTGAAGTTAAAAAAAAAGAACCAAAATGTCTACGCCTTCAACAGATTTTTCTTTTTACTATGAGATTGTGAAGCGTTTTCGAATATGTATCTGAAGATTCTAATTTTATGAAGTTTTCAATAGTGATTTGAACTACCGAGTCTCTGAAAATAAGATTTGCCATTTAACTATACTCGATTAGATTTTTGTTTAGAACGATGAATTCTCAAGACCTAAATATTGCAATAGCAGTCTAGGAGCTGTTTTTGGAAATTCACCCTCAGTTTGCACCGATTTTGATTCGGTATGAGATAAAATCAGGATTATAAACAGATAAACAAATAAGTGAACGAATAAATAAGTAAAACATAGGATGCTAGCTTTGAAGGAATAGAATGTCGAGACTCGCTCTATCGTCAACGCCGTAAGCACTTCCAATCCAACATACTCAAGAGAGCTCTCAAAATGAACCAAATCATTAGGTGGACTCATCGTCAGCCTTGCTGAAGTAATAATATCGTAAAGATCGGTGCGTGCTTCGAGAAGTCGAAATGAATCCTTAATAAAATTACTTTTAGATTTACTTAAAGATACCTATACCAATACCCACTCGGGTGAGGCTGCAACCCAACCTGATTCGCTCAAAGTATAGGACCAATTCGAGCAATTTGTTAATCTGTTCGTAAAGAACAAAAAGATCCTGCAAGGAACAGGTCTGTATGAAGTCAGGAATTAGCAGGGCTCTGAAGGGAGCATAAAATGTCGTTTAAAATAATATTAAAAACAGAATAGGATCCGCATCGCCCGAACCAGGCAGGCGAGAAAGGAACGGAATCAATCTCAGCATAAGGTCTTATGGAATGAGTCTTTAATGGGCTTCATATTACTTCAGATGTAATGTCATTAAAGATGGTCATGTCATGACTAAGAAAATGGTCTTAGAAGGCGGTACCAGGGGAAATAAGGGGCAAAGACTATCTAATATCTCGAAATCACTGTAGGAAAACACAGAAAATAATTCTTCACTTAAGTTCCGATGCTTATCCATAGAATGTGGTTCATAATCATAGCTGAAGCTCACTGACTAGCCAGCTCACCGAAATCCAATGAGCTGGTCAACTAGAACCTTTTAAGAGTTGGAGAAGAAAAATTTACCATAATCGAGGAGCTGCTACCATCCTTTGGGTTATTATAAAAAGTTATGGTGTGGGTCTAAAAATATGAAATCTCCCTCGAGCTCTTCAAAAAGCCCTTAAAATCGTCCGTCAATTCAAGACAGGTTTTCAATACTGAATTTCCATTAAAAAAAAAGTCAAAAATAAAAGTCAAATGCTGTATGAGGCAGTGCCATTGCGAGCCACTTAACTTTAGCCTCTGGGCCTTCCCGTACACACAGATAGATCTTTCACGAGTTTATCACCCGTTGGAGCAAGAAAGCAGGTGACTAATTGTAAGAATGCTGTATCTATCCGAATAATTCAGTCCCCAAGTATCATAGTGGTAGTAAGAATGAAGGCACCTAGCTTTCTTGGATGAAGATCCTCATCCGATAAACAAATTTTGAGTGATAATCGAATTTTCGTCCTCTCCTTTTTGGTGCTCAACCAATTAATGTCGAGAAGAAAGGGAATACGAACGGAATATTTTTAACTGTTCACAATGATCTCCCTTCTTCTTCCCTCCTCAAACCGCTGAACGAGATGAAAAGGTTCGTTGAGGGGGAAAGAAAGGGGATGGGACCAGGGAGGGAAAGCTGAGCAACTAGCCAAACAAGTAGAAATAATTAGGACAATGCATTTCAACATATAATTATTCAAGAATCATTTAGCAAACTTGAATTTCTAACAAACAAGGAAGAAACAGAAGATTTAGAAAAGCAGAAATCTACTGTTAACGGAGTGGATCAGTCTTACTGATGCAATCCGTTGAGAAAACGGCTCAGAAAGCGAACAGACCGCACTCTCCTCAAAATAACCGACCAACTGATTCATCGGCCCTCCCAAACCCCCAATTCCATTTATGGCATATTTCATGTGGAGAAAACTGGAAACGAAACGATCGCATGTTAACATTACCTGCAGTAATTTCAAAGGCGCCGGTGGAGGAGTAATATGTTGGCTGGTATGCGCTAATAGAAGTAGTACGCCGATCGAAAACCAGTGCTGAAACCTCAGCGAAATATTGAATATTCCTTGCTTTTTAGCGCTTTTCGACTGCAAACGTGGGCACCGCGCCACCTCGGGAACCTTCCCAGATGATGACCGCAGATAGAGCAGCATATCATCGAGTTGGTCCTCATCGGATCCGTCAGTGCTCATAGTCGAGTACGGTAGTCGACGACGAGATGCCGTCGCCGTGGTGGTGTATGTAGCCATGAATGCTGTCGTCGT